AACTATGGTCTTCAATGCGGTCAATGATCCTCTGTCGGTGTTAGCACGATGGCGAAGTAGAATATCGGGGTATGTTAGATATTGGGACTTGTCTAAATTCTGCTGTAAATGTGTAATTTCGGGAAACCTCCTCCAAGCTCCTGCTAGTAGGGTTTAGGTCATATCGGATTGTTGGTTGATTTGCTAGAGTTAAAGAGATTACTATCATTATGAACGATCCACCGTTTTTTCTTTCGTTAGGCTTCTATTCTCCACTATTCTAATTTCATATGGAGAAACTGCACCCCAAACGAATTTGAACGGGAGGTGCTGAAAGCACACCACTTCGCATAGCTATGTAACATAGTTGTTTATGATACTGGCCTGTACCTCTCTAAGTAATGCCAGTGTCACGAACTGCTCAATGAGATGCTTTACAACTTAATAGTTATTGTCGTCTAAGAGAAAAGTGTTCTTTATGTTTTTCGAAATTGTTCGGTTCCACGTTTTCATAATACACGATTGTTGCAGACAAGCATCGGATTGTGATTCGCGTTCATTCCATCCCGTCATAGCTGTTATGTGGCGTACTCGTAGTGAACTGGAAAAAAGTATGATCGAAGGTGAAAATGGACCAAAAGTCTATCGACAGAAAGCCAGCGAAGTTTGTACTAGGAGTGTTTAGAGTTGGGATAGATTTATTAGACCTTTTTCTAGTACACTTCTTTGTGCAGCGAAATGCGATCGTTTTTGAGAGTTGCAGCAAGTATTGCTCCAGTAGTTCAAGGAATATTTAACGACGCTGAAATTATGTCAGAAGAAAAGGATTCTGCTCAGCTGCAGCTAACGCTTGCGCAACTTAAGTCCTTTGCTGTGAGCGCTTTGAGCTTCAGACAGGTACTTCTTTATTGATTTTTTGTCAAAATTTCTTTGCTGTCTTTGGCTATCATTACCGCTTATTGTATTCAGAAAATCCTCACTAAATTCTCTTCATTTGTGGACATCTCAATGACATTCCTTCAAGCCGTTAATATCTTTGTTTGTGCACTATACGAAGCTTGTGGCATAATCGAAAGTGTTGAACGGCGCCGAGAATTACGTATTAGCACCGCCTTCCCAATGAACTTCCAGGTAGCCTTTTAAGAATTTTCTTGAGTATAGCTCAAATATTTTTTTTTCAGCTTAAACTATCCGAGCAAGGCCTCGAAAGTCTAGAACTGCTCTCTTGGGCCTCTCGAGATGCCTCTCCTATGCCTCTACGCTTGAAAGCAGCAGTGGTACGCCACAGAGTCTCTCTTTGCATTGACCCTCTGTATGACCTGGAATGGATACGGCGTCAATGGCAAAAGTGGTCAGTTTTCTGGTGCTTTCCTGACACCACTCGGTGTCACAACGACCCCATTACGATCCCGCTCTTTGAACAGTCCCACACGACTCGCGGCATTTTAAAATTGCCTGAAGTTGTCAGCTAATTTCGTCAATACCCTTTTTGAATGTAACAGACAAGTGATCCACATATAAACTATCTTTCAATATGAGCTTTAATGATCGGCCTTCTACCATGTAGAATTAGCCTAGAATACTAATTACTTAGATCTGTCCTGTGTCCATACGTCGGGCCGTCCTTAACATCTCCCCGTTTCTGTTTCTCGATAGCTTCCTCTACGATTGTTTTTGAGTTGTGGTGGCAAAGTTCGCCGGTTTAGATTCATTAGGTATTTTTAGTTCTCCGTGGTGTGCCGCGCTCATTATGCACATTTTGCTGTGGAGGCGTAGTTCTGAATTTGTTCTATTATACAAGTACGAAGTCAACGAGATGTTGAGGCAATGATTTGGTTTCAAAAGAATTCTTCTAGCCGTTCTTCAGAAAAGCTGAATTTGCCATAGTGAAGCCTGGTCTTTGTGGCGTAACTGGAAGATATTCAAAGCAAATAGGTGAACCTCAAGAACTGGGTCTGTCAGCAGTTTGACTTCTTTTAGAGGTCCGAAATCTGCCCAAGCTGTTCTGTGCCTCTGTTCCTTCCCTTAGATTTCTCTATTTTTCTGTTCATCGAATGCCAGAGATATAGGTAGGATTGTCTGCGCCGTTGGGAAGGTATCTAGTTCCATTTTGTAATCCTCGCAAACTCTTTCTTGATTTGGTGCTATCGTCTTCCTTTTCCTTCAGTCTTTCATCCTACTTGATACTCCTCGAATAGAGTAGTCCGCATAGTGTAAGTTTGAGACCAACTCGTATGCCTCTTGGTCTAATCCGGTGACTTCATCATCCGCTGCATATTCGATAACCCTCCGCAACTGATATGTAGAGGGCACTATCATTTGCAGTCCTCATAGCAGTTGAACAATATCAGTTTGGGTCCTTTGTTTGACAAGCGCTGAGAGTAATGCGTTAGTTGCGACACTGTCAACCGCCTTCTCGTTGTTATCAAAGGTTAGGAGGGGTGAGCCTTCTTGGCGAACCTTGAGAATTCTAAAGTTTGGTGGATCAAGTGAATCACCTGCGAATCCGACTTGATTTTCCTGGTGATCTTGATTCAATGTTCTCGATTTACGACTAAGGTTGTTTTTGAAGAACCAATAAAGCATGTCCAGCAGACAAATGGACGGTGATAAGATCTTCCCATCGCCCTTTTTGGAGATGGATCATTTGAGTTTCCCACTAATCGGGCTTCCTTTCCTTCGAAATTACGATGTGAGGTGCTCTGCAAGCATCTCGTGCA